TTGTAGATCCGTTTCCTCAGCTTTTCTGAATGCAAAGTAGTAAAACTGCTGAGTATCTTGTAAAACTGTGAAGGGATCTGTGATGGTGTTAACTCTGAGTTTCTTGGGAGCTTAAGGTTGTATTTGAAAACTTGACAATGTGTTTAGAGGGGGAGGCAGGTGAGTTGCTAAGGTTTTTTAAGCGTTTTTTTTAAGTTTTCGGTATACTTTCTCGTTCGTGATCTGTCTAGGTTGTTAACGCTATGTTTAGATGCTTCGGACTACATCATCCCTGGACAGTTTGAAAGATGAAATGTCACCTTGGTTGTTGCATTACCTTGGATTTTATGAGAAGCTTTGTTTCCAGACATACATGCAGAACTCCTTACGTTCTTTCTTACTTTTACTTATTTTATTTCACAGTCCAATCTGAATCTGGTTGTGCCAACGTTGTGTCTGCAGCTCCGTGCCTGGCGGAGCCACAGCAATATGAAGTACAATTTGGACGATTACGCAATTTTCTCACAGGTAAATATCAGGGAGCAAGGAAAAAGAAAGTAGCTGATATTTTTTCGTCACTTCAATGAGTAAAGGACAGTATAATAAAATTAAAAATCATGTCTCTATCAATCCTTTAATTTCTAGCTTTGAGATTTCCGATACTACAATTAAAAATGTTTAATTGTTCTTTTTTTTTGTTGCCTGAGTGCTGAGTACCTTTGACTTTTGTAGATAGCTGTTTGCCCTTTCTTGTTCAAGCATTCAGCTTTTGTATATGTGTAAATCTTCTCGACAACATCATACATATACAGGACAAGAAAGAAGATTAGAGTCTTACGTGCAAGGCAGGTAACTTAGAAATTAATGGAGTTCTTTGCTGTCTCCTAGATTAGAGTTTTTAATTTTATCATAATTGGCTTCTTTTTATGATGGTCTAGATTTTTAAGGGAGAATTTTTCCCTTAAATTTACCTCTACTGGCTTTGAGACGGGAGGTATATGAGAGAGAGGAAAAAAAATCTCATTCTGTAGTGTGATGCAGAAGGCAATAATGATTTTTTTTTTTTAATTTATTTAAAAAAAAAAAGTAAAAGGGACTCCTGGGAGTGTCCTTGTTTCTTCTATGAGTCCCAGATGTGGGAAGAAGAAAGCAAATGGATTTTTAGAGAATATTAGCAAGGAAAGTCAGGTTGCTGCTCCTCCCATCTTTGGGTAGGTCTACATTTGTCCAGTGTAGGGATTTGATCCCAGCTCGCATAACACTGGGTTTAATATTTCTAATATCTGTTGAAGGGAAATTGAGGGAGGGAGGGAGGGAGGCAGGAAGGCAGAGGCAGAAAACAGTGAAGTCTTAGCCTTGCCACCTAGAGCAGTTCGACACCATTGCACTTTAGTACTGAGGGTGAATCCACATGGTTTAATAGATTTTTGAGAAGTACGATTGCTCTGTTCAGTGGCTTGAATATTACTTGGGGAGATGCAGAGTATGGTTTCGGTGTTCAGGTCGACTGTTTGCATCTTTTTTTGTCCCTCTTGCTCGGTTTTGATTTCTTAGTCCCTTGCAGAAATAAACGATTAATGTGTGTAACTTGCCAGCCAGCCACAAGGCAGAGCAGGATGCTTCCCATTTCGGTGATGCCTGTCCCCAGGGTCCCTGAGGAGTGGGCAGGGGACTAGGACCACTGAATAATTCAGGAATTACTCTGGAGGTCTTTAGTTCAATCTGCTGCTCAAAGCAGGGAAAGGTCAGAGTTTGATCAGGTTGCTCAAGTCCTTGTCCAGCCAGGTTTTGAAAATCAAAAAGCGTGGAGATTGCACTACCCACTCCTCTGGGTCCCAGCTGCAAGGCTGAGTGATTTGGTGAGAATTTCCCTTGCAGCAGCTTGCCTGCTGTCCATTATGCTGAGAATCTCTGAGAAGAGGCTTTCTTCTTTCCTCCATAATGTCCAACTGAGTAGTAAAGGCAGCAGTTAGGGATTCCCTTAATCTTCTCCAGGCTAGACAGACTTGGCTCCCGTAACTTCTCTTCATATGTTCATGGGGAACACTTTCTTTGTTTCTTTCTCTGCCAACTTGCCATCTCTTCCTTTTTTTCCTCACTGCAGTGTGAGGTCCTTCCCCTTGTTGCATTTATGAACTAGAGCACTTGCAGCTGCTTAGTGCTTTTGCTACATACAGACCACTAGTTTCACTGGCTTTGGCCCGGTTTCAGTGGGACAGAGAAGAGAATGATGCCTAAGTATGCAAATATGCATGTATGCACTGCACACCACACTCTGTAGTTACTCATATAGCAATGGGAGAGAGGCACAGTGTGGACTGGAGAAAGTCTGGATGGGTTCTCAACAGAAGAGAAAAAATAACCTGAGGAAAGAGGGGAAAAAAAGAGTATGCATTTGTGAGTGGCAGGAGGGAAGAACAAGTTGAAAAGAAGCAATGCTGTTTGAAGACCAGCAATGCTGTTTGAGGATCAGCGATGCCTATTTTATTCCAGTAATTTAGACCATTTGGGCCTCCAGAAACTCATTACTGTGGCCCTGCACACTGCCGTGGTGTTCTGCTGCAGGGCTCTGCTCCTTACAGCTCCCTGCAGCCGGCTGAACGTGGGAGGGAAACAGCCCCAAGAAGCTGGTGAAGGAGGGGTGGAGCTGTTGCACAGATTAGTCCCTGCAAGGTACGGCACAGCCTAATCGGGAGTTTGTTACACTGTGTACTAGGAATTACTGCTGGGATTTGCCTTGGCAGAGAGAGGGAGAGAGAGTGCGTGCACATGAGCAGACACAGAAATAAACCAAGAGCACAGCATATTGCAGTACGTTTTGGAAACTGAAGCTTCCTTTCCCCCAGAGACAAATCAGTTCCATCCCAAGTACCACATGCAAGTTTTACTGAAGCCGAGAGGAAAAAAAAGCCACCAAAGTTCAGGCCCGCTCAAGCTAGGTAAATTATTTTGATTTTAAAATGTTAAATACTATTTTAAATATAATGAGTAAATTTTGAAGTCCATTTATTGCAGTAAACAGAGGACATAGTTTTTAAGTCAAGAAAAAATTCAACTGTCATGTAGTTTGAGGTGGTATTTTAATAGCTAGCCCATACCTAAAAAGGGTTTTGAAATCTCTGCATTTTGTTCTGACAACATACCTCACTGATTTGAAAATCTCTCTTCAGATGTGTAATAGGTACTGTGTATCCCTTTTAGGTGACAGAAGAGGTTCACTTAGAAGCGCCAACAAAAGTCTCCTCTTGCTTGATCTCTGATGCCACTGTCAAGGGTTTTTGCAGTAATTGTCCTTGTTCTGTTTTATTCCCAATATAAAGTGGATTGAGAAATCATTCAAAGTTTGTTGCTGTTCTTTATGTAGATTCAGATTCTCAGCACAGCCATGAAGTGATGCCTCTTCTGTATCCCCTCTTCGTCTACCTCCACCTGAACATGGTCCAGAATGGCCTAAAAAGCACAGTGGACAGTTTTTACAGCCGCTTCCATGGCATGTTCTTGCAGAATGCCAGCCAGAAGGATATCATTGAGCAGTTGCAGACTACCATGACTATTCAAGATATCCTGTCCAACTTGAAGCTCCGGGCTTTTCTGGACAACAAGTACGTCATCCGCCTTCAAGAGGACAGCTACAACTACCTTCTTCGCTACCTCCAAAGTGACAACAACAACGCCCTGTGCAAAGTCCTGACCTTGCACATTCACCTGGATGTGCAGCCCGCCAAGAGGACTGACTACCAGCTCTACGCCGGTGGGAGCTCCTCGCGCAATGAGAGCAACGGCCTGGAGCCCAGCGACGTGCCGGCTTCCATTCTGCAGAACGAGGCAGCGCTGGATTTACTGCAGGACAGCATTAAACGTGTCAAGGACGGACCCCCTTCCTTAACGACCATCTGTTTCTATGCCTTCTATAACACGGAGCAGTTGCTGAACACTGCAGAGATTTCACCGAACAGCAAGCTGCTCGCCGCTGGGTTTGATAATTCATGTGTGAAGCTGTGGAGCCTGCGTTCCAGGAAGTTAAAATCTGAGCCCCACCTCGTTGATGTGTCCCACATCCGCCTGGCTTGTGACATCCTGGATGAGGAGGTCTGGATACCTTTTTTTTTTCCCTCTCTACTCTTTCTGCTGAGGTATTTGGGGCACGCGTTGTGGAGAATCTGGTAACGTCTTAGGGGACTGTGAGGCTGTTGCACAACCCACCTGCCTTGACACACAAATTTTGTAGCCTGCTCTTGTCTGGCGTCTTGCTTGCAGTGGTTGTAAATGCTGCACTGAGGTGCAATGAGTTTGTGCTCGGTTCATAGTCTGTTAGTCCTAGGTGCTGATGTCCCTCCTCCAGCTATCCTTGAGCAGATGACAGTACACAGGCAGCGCAGTAATGACGGGTGACTAGAGAATGCTCTTTTTCCTGAGGAGCATGGAGCCTTCTTATGAATGGGAAGATGAAACAAAGAGATGCGGGTAGTAAAAACAGGGATGAATGAGAACTAGAAGGAAAGCAGCTCAGAACAACCAGTCAGAAGGGAAGAGAGAAGGGGAGAGGTTCAGAAAGAGGAAAATAAAGTCAAAGTAAGGAAGGAGCCAAAGGAGGCTGATATGAGGCCTCAGGAAGAAGGAGGGATGCCTAAGTGGAAAACTGTATTTAAGGAATCACATTAATCAGAAGTGAAGAGTTAGCATGGAAAAATTATGCAAAATGTCTCTGTTAAGGAATCTGCCATGTTGAAACTTAAGAGGCTTCCCACTCTGTAGTGCTGGAGACAAGGACAGAGATGTGTGTGCCTTCACATGCCAGGCTAGATAGCATCTTCTTGTTCACTCTTTCTTTTGCCTTCTAGTCACGCCCTTCCTCCCCTCACCACAGCTGCCCACATAGCATCTTATATCTGGTTAGAGATCAGAATTTGTGACTCTACCTTTGTTTAATCCCTCCCCTCTTGAAGAGTTACAAAAAAAAAAA